TCGGGCCGGATTTCGAGTCAAATAAAGCTAGGCTTGTCACTTAGAAAATTTTTGGCTGATGGAAAAAATTTTTTCGTCATAGATCGACTTAGAAATGTTCAAAACGCATATTAACGGAGATAGGTTTGGTTGAGGGTAATTTTAAAGCGCATTTTCACCTGGCTATTATAGCACTGAGCCGTATGCAAATGATCCTTGCCCGTCCCGATTACTATAAATGACACTACGCTTGCCCGGATTTCTGGGTCAAATAAAGCTAGGCTTGTCACTTAGAAAATTTTTTGGCTGATCAAAAAATGCTATCATAGCACTGAGCCGTATGCAAATGATTCCTTGCCCGTCCCGATTACTATAAATTACACTACGCTTGCCCGTAGCACTTAGAAAGGTTCAAAACGCATATTAACGGAGATAAGTTTGGCTCAGCGGAATTTTAAAGCGCATTTTCACATGCTATCATAGCACTGAGCCGTATGCAAATGATCCTTGCCCGTCCATTAATATAAATTACACTACGCTTGCCCGGATTCAGTCAATAAACTAGTAGGCTTGTCACTTAGAAAATTTTTGGCTGATCGAAAAAATTTTTTCGTCATAGATCGACTTAGAAAGGTTCAAAACGCATATTAACGGAGATAAGTTTGGCTCAGCGGAATTTTAAAGCGCATTTTCACATGCCTATCATAGCACTGAGCCGTATGCAAATGATTCCTTGCCCGTCCCGATTACTATAAATTACACTACGCTTGCCCGGGCGATCGAAAAAATTTTTTCGTCATAGATCGACTTAGAAAGGTTCAAAACGCATATTAACGGATATACGTTTGGCTCAGGGGAATTTTAAAGCACATTTTCACATGGCTATCATAGCATGGAGTCGTATGCAAATGATTCCTTGCCCGTCTCGATTACTATAAATTACACTACGCTTGGCCGGATTTCGGAGTCATATAAAGCTAGGCTTGTCACTTAGAAAATTTTTGGCTGATCGAAAAAATTTTTTCGTCATAGATCGACTTAGAAAGGTTCAAAACGCATATTAACGGACATAGGTTTGGCTGAGGGGAATTTTAAAGAACATTTTCACCTGGCTATCATAGCACTGAGTCGTATGCAAATGATTCCTTGCCCGTCTCGATTACTATAAATTACACTACGCTTGCCCGGATTTCGGAGTCATATAAAGCTAGGCTTGTCACTTAGAAAATTTTTGGCTGATCGAAAAAATTTTTTCGTCATAGATCGACTTAGAAAGGTTCAAAACGCATATTAACGGAGATAGGTTTGCCTCAGGGGAATTTTAAAGCACATTTTCACATGGCTATCATAGCACTGAGTCGTCTACGCTTGCCCGTCCTTTAATATAAATTACACTACGCTTGCCCGTTGCCCGGATTTCAGAATCAAATAAATTTTTGGCAGACCGAAAAAATTTTTTCGTCATAGATCGACTTAGAAAGGTTCAAAACGCATATTAACGGAGATAGGTTTGGCTCAGGGGAATTTTAAAGCACATTTTCACATCGTCTCGATTACTATAAATTACACTAGCTTGCCCGTTGCCCAGATTACGGAGTCAAATAAAGCTAGGCTTGTCACTTAGAAAATTTTTGGCTGATCGAAAAAATTTTTTCGTCATAGATCGACTTAGAAAGGTTCAAAACGCATATTAACGGATATACGTTTGGCTCAGGGGAATTTTAAAGCACATTTTCACATGGCTATCATAGCACTGAGTCGTATGCAAATGATTCCTTGCCCGTCCCGATTACTATAAATTACACTACGCTTGCCCGTCCTTTAATATAAATTACACTACGCTTGCCCGTTGCCCGGATTTCAGAATCAAATAAATTTTTGGCAGACCGAAAAAATTTTTTCGTCATAGATCGACTTAGAAAGGTTCAAAACGCATATTAACGGAGATAGGTTTGGCTCAGGGGAATTTTAAAGCACATTTTCACATGGCTATCATAGCACTGAGTCGTATGCAAATGATTCCTTGCCCGTCCTACTCAATATAAATTACACTACGCTTCCCCGTTGCCTGGATTTCGAAGTCAAGTAAAGCTAGGCTTGACACTTAGAAAATTTTTGGCTGATCGAAAAAATTTTTCCGTCATAGATGGACTTAGAAAGGTTCAAAACGCATATTAACGGAGATAGGTTTCGCTCAAGGGAATTTTAAAGCACATTTTCACATGGCTATCATGGCACTGAGTCGTATGCAAATGATTCCTTGCCCGTCCCGATTACTATAAATTACACTACGCTTGCCCGTCCTTTAATATAAATTACACTACGCTTGCCCGTTGGCCGGATTTCAGAATCAAATAAATTTTTGGCAGACCGAAAAAATTTTTTCGTCATAGATCGACTTAGAAAGGTTCAAAACGCATATTAACGGAGATAGGTTTGGCTCAGGGGAATTTTAAAGAACATTTTCACATGGCTATCATAGCATGGAGTCGTATGCAAATGATTCCTTGCCCGTCTCGATTACTATAAATTACACTACGCTTGGCCGGATTTCGGAGTCATATAAAGCTAGGCTTGTCACTTAGAAAATTTTTGGCTGATCGAAAAAATTTTTTCGTCATGGATCGACTTAGAAAGGTTCAAAACGCATATTAACGGAGATAGGTTTGGCTCAGGGGAATTTTAAAGCACATTTTCACATGGCTATCATAGCACTGAGCCGTATGCAAATGATTCCTTGCCCGTCCCGATTACTATAAATTACACTACGCTTGCCCGTCCATTAATATAAATTACACTACGCTTGCCCGTTGCCCGGATTTCTGAGTCAAATAAATTTTTGGCTGATCGAAAAAAATTTTTCGTCATAGATCGACTTAGAAAGGTTCAAAACGCATATTAACGGAGATAGGTTTGGCTCAGGGGAATTTTAAAGCACATTTTCACATGGCTATCATAGCATGAGTCGTATGCAAATGATTCCTTGCCCGTCCCGATTACTATAAATTACACTACGCTTGCCCGTCCTTTAATATAAATTACACTACGCTTGCCCGTTGCCCGGATTTCTGAGTCAAATAAATTTTTGGCTGATCGAAAAAATTTTTTCGTCATAGATCGACTTAGAAAGGTTCAAAACGCATATTAACGGAGCCTGATAGGTTTGGCTCAGGGGAATTTTAAAGAACATTTTCACATGGCTATCATAGCATGGAGTCGTATGCAAATGATTCCTTGCCCGTCTCGATTACTATAAACTACACTACGCTTGGACGGATTTCGGAGTCATATAAAGCTAGGCTTGTCACTTAGAAAATTTTTGGCTGATCGAAAAAATTTTTTCGTCATAGATCGACTTAGAAAGGTTCTAAACGCATATTAACGGAGATAGGTTTGGCTCAGGGGAATTTTAAAGCACATTTTCACATGGCTATCATAGCATGGAGTCGTATGCAAATGATTCCTTGCCCGTCTCGATTACTATAAATTACACTACGCTTGCCCGGATTTCGGAGTCATATAAAGCTAGGCTTGTCACTTAGAAAATTTTTGGCTGATCGGAAAAATTTTTTCGTCATAGATCGACTTAGAAAGGTTCAAAACGCATATTAACGGAGATAGGTTTGGCTCGGGGGAATTTTAAAGCACATTTTCACATGGCTATCATAGCATGAGTCGTATGCAAATGAATCCTTGCCCGTCCCGATTACTATAAATTACACTACGCTTGCCCGGATTTCGGAGTCATATAAAGCTAGGCTTGTCACTTAGAAAATTTTTGGCTGATCGAAAAAATTTTTTCGTCATAGATCGACTTAGAAAGGTTCAAAACGCATATTAACGGAGATAGGTTTGCCTCAGGGGAATTTTAAAGCACATTTTCACATGGCTATCATAGCATGAGTCGTATGCAAATGATTCCTTGCCCGTCTCGATTACTATAAATTACACTACGCTTGGCCGGATTTCGGAGTCATATAAAGCTAGGCTTGTCACTTAGAAAATTTTTGGCTGATCGAAAAAATTTTTTCGTCATGGATCGACTTAGAAAGGTTCAAAACGCATATTAACGGAGATAGGTTTGGCTCAGGGGAATTTTAAAGCACATTTTCACATGGCTATCATAGCATGGAGTCGTATGAAAATGATTCCTTGCCCATCCCGATTACTATAAATTAGACTACGCTTGCGCGGATTTCGGAGTCATATAAAGCTAGGCTTGTCACTTAGAAAATTTTTGGCTGATCGAAAAAAATTTTTCGTCATAGATCGACTTAGAAAGGTTCAAAACGCATATTAACGGAGATAGGTTTGGCTCAGGGGAATTTTAAAGCACATTTTCACATAGCTATCATAGCACTGAGACGTACATTTGCATACATTTGCATTTAAAGCACGTTTTCATATGGCTATCATAGCACTGAAGCCGTATGCAAATGAATCCTTGCCCGGTTATTCCTCCGTGTCAGAGTTAGTAGGTTTAATGCTTGGAAATGGCTATATGTTAAGGCGGGGATCTCCTGTTCGAGAGAATTCCGAACGTAGAAATGTTTTCAAAGGATTTTAGAAATATCTTGACACTTACTTCCTAGAGTTTTTTCGCCATCAGTGATAGCAGGCAGTTCTTTCACCAACTGCTGGTCTCCCAGAGTTTTCGATAACCAATCATTACATTTAAACACACTCACTGACCCTGTGTCGTCATTACGGATTATGACCTAAAAATAGTGAGACATTTGTCATTTGAGATCAGGCAATCTGGTGAATAAGACATCATCCTAAACTGCTAGACCTATCCAGTCTATATAAAGGCAGATTTACACTACATAACCTTTGCCTAAAATGCTCGCATACATTCAACCTGCTTACAACTTGAGTTGCATGTACTATGTAATTCAAACACACAATACGCCTACTTTGTCGTAGGGGAATTGTGCATGTACTTGATTTACACAGAACAACTCAAGTTGGAAGCAGGTTGAATGCGACAGTTTTAGGCAAAAGTTGTGCGGTGTAATCGGGTCTTAACGAGAGTTCATGTCTACCTTATCCAGATACCAGTTCGTTCTGTTTCCTTTCCCCTCGTGCCCAATCCTCATCTTGCGCAACTTTCCGACATCTTCGAGCTCCATTCGGAACATGTCGACACCTCCTCGTTCAAATCTCTCATCTCCTTTCTCAAGTTTGACTTCCGGTGTCGCGCCATCACTGCCATATATGGTAAATGTGACGTCACTATCCGTCCCAGCATCCTTCACGTCTCCAGAGAACACCGTGATCTCGTATGGAACGACTAAATTTGAAGCGAAACTGAATTGAATACAATTTTTTACATATAATTACGAACTAAAAAGTTAGAAATATATACATATATCTATAAGGTAAAAAGATTATACTTTAGCGTTAAAATTCAAAGCTAAAAGTTGGTAAAACCGTCTCTGTACTAACAAGGTAAAGACTTACGTGGTTTGTAAGATACTTGATCACCCTCACTCGCAGTTAAAACACGGGTAGTCAAACCATCTTCTTTATCTTTAGCCAACCAACGGTTGCAGGGAAAGTGATAAACCTTTCCTCGTGTTGGAACATCTATCTCGATCTCTTTAAGATGCCAGCCATCTTTTTGAGAATAACCATTATGTCCTGTGACAGAAAACACAACATCATTACTTAGTTTAGGTTTCCTCCTGTAGTAATACTGGAAAATAGGAGATGATCCTTACTGGACCTCTAGGAAGAACAGTTTAGAACTGATTGTGCAAATGTTTCCACTTACCCACTTCAACTTTTCTTACTTCACCGACATCAACTCCTTCCACTGAGAACGTCTCTGCTGTTCCTGGCTCGAACTCAGTCTTCTGAACGAGTTCAAGATCAATTTTATCCGTGGTGGCCTGGGTCCCAATCAATACGATGTATACTTTCGCTTCAGTCCCGCCATCTTTGTCATCACCAGTCTTCACTCGGACAGTGTAAGAAATTGCTAGACAAGAGAAAGATGAAATAATTCTCTATTTAATATATTTTATTGATATATTGGATTAATCTTGTTTGTGAGAATCGCTGATTTTTACAAAGACATATCAGCCGTCACAACGTCATTTGTTCGCCGCGTTTATACGAATGAGCAAACGAAATGTCTTGGCTTTGAGCAAGTTCGTCTCAAATATAAACAGGGTCGTTTACCCTCCTGACCACACGAGACCGATCTTGCCTTTGTTCTCTCATTTCAGAAGGCGTCTGTAAAGTCAATCATTTGCTCAAACTTACATTTCAATGGTGCATTTTTCTTGGCCTTGTCTTTAAACTCTTTCTCAAATATTTCATCAGCAGTGGTGCTACGTTTCTTGCTAGGACTCGGGTCTCCACGAGAGGGAGAGGAATTGAGACTGCTCGCCATACTCATGCCTGTCATTGTTGTTGAACGATCACCCTGTGATGAGAAAGTCAGGCGGTCAATCTCACAGTGATCAAGTATTTTTGCGTACATGTGTTGGCTACATTTACTGGCTTCTCATTATATGTCGTAGTCTTGTATTTGAAGGCAAATATATTAAATTCAATTGAGAGAATTTTCTTAAAGTCAGTGTCAACATTTCTCAAGATGAACATCATGTCCCAGTGAAGCCAGACAATACCTTGTAATCTTTTTCATAAAAATTTCTTTCTATCTTTTTATCTTCTTTATTTTTCGCCAGCCATCTTTCACAATGAAACAAGAACTGTCTATCAGCCGTGAGATCCTCTATCTCGACTCTCTCGACAAACCAAGCTGGGTTTAACATGGCGTTATCATGACGTAACTTGATCTTATGTAGGTTACCCAGATCTGCTGCTTCGAATGAGAAGATATCTTCCTGAAAATTGAAGTAAAACCCAGTCAAGATAAGAATTGACGAGAGTTGTGCACGTGTTTGATGACCAACTCTCAAGCAACCCTTGTTCTCGTTTATCGGGGCAAGAGAGTTGAGAAAAGTTGCATACAAACTCTCGCTTCAACTCTCATGCAACCCTTGTTCTTGTTTATCGGGGCAAGAGAGTTGCGAAAAGTTGCATACAAACTCTCGCTTCAAATCTCGTCCTCGCTTGAATCATTCTCTCGTAAATAACAATTTTTTGGTAAAGAAATGCTTGAGGGAACTGACTCATTGTGGCATTTGTGGGTCAGTTTCCTCAAACATTTCTTACAAATCCTTCAAAACTTACCTATGCAAAATTCTTATTGTGATCACAGAAGCCTTGATAAACCAGGCTTTACGCGCTGTTTACACTATACCGGATTCGCTGGTCACGACATCTTCTTTTGCCGCTACGGAGCAATGGTTAGTAACAAATACTTATTAGTTTGACAGAATTGGCATGTTCATTTGGGTCTCTGAGATTAAAAATCTTCACAGCCTTTTCGATACCTACAAAATTTGACCCACTCCGATAGCAATCCGGTATAGTGTAAACGGGGCCTTAGGCGCTGTTAAAGGTCTATCGACTACTCAAAATTCAATTCCAAATCTTTCTTACCTTGCCTCGCTCGAATTTATCAGTGTGAGTTTCAGATTTGGTCAGCGGTCGTTCCCCAGAGTCTCCATATTGTCCAAATAAGGTAATGAAAACATTCGCATCAGTTCCCGCGCCTTTGACGTCACCAGTGATCACGTGGACACGATATTTGTGAACTGAGAACACCAAGTGAGAAAAACGTCATTAACAATTAGTTATACTTAAGCAGTACTTCAACCTGTTTATCTAGCGAAACAGCTGGGTTTCACAAAGCACGATCGTGCAGCCGATGATGGTCAACCTGCAGTTAGCAGAGTGAGAAAATAATGTTCATTCTTTTCATTCTATGTAGTAATCTTGTATTTGCTGGGAAAATAATCGAGTGATGTGGTTTGATGTGTCAACATTTTTGAAGTTGACGACCGTTCTGCTCTTCTGCTTTACTGCAACAGGTCAACATGGTAAACAACTAAAGGCAATTGTCTAAGGAAAGATAGATTTGACTAAGTGTGACAGTGCAACACAAGGTGGTCACTTTGAACCCCAAATAAAAGACTGTTATCAGAGTAACTAAATTGTTCACTCATTAACCTTGTGTTGATGGCAAATACATGTCATGGAAACATGTATTTGCTCGTTACCCTAAGTGTCATCTGTACATTTCATGTTGACCACTAAGGGTAGCACCATATAAAACATTTCACTGAAACCCAGCCCCTCAGAATGTTTCCTCACCAAGCTCTATGAAAACACTTCACACAAAGCCACACATTCTTAGAATATTTCCTCACTAAGCGTGATATCTTACCATCGAGTGCCTGATGTTCAACTTTATTCGCCACAACCTCCCCATTCTTAGTAACAATCTCCTCCGTCACATCTCTCGGTACCAATTCCCTCACAATCGCGCCGTCATCCTCGCCTTTAGCCAACCAACGTTTGCATGGAAACGTGTAAAGTGTCGCGCTTTTATTGTCGTCAAGTAAACGCCGTATTTCTACTTTGTCTAGAAACCATCCGGCCCCAATCCCTTTCCCGTCATGACCGACACGGATTTTCTCAATCACGTCACCAACATCAATAAGCTAAAACAATGAAATATATTTTTATGACTGTAGCAACTTTATTTATACTGGAGATCTAGTAAGGATCATGCTCATTGGTCCGTTGTCACTACAGAACAAAATCAAAGAAGAAAACCCGCGGTGTTTGGTAGAGTCAAGTTAGAAGTCTCACATGTGATTGAGTAAATAAGGTGAACGAAACTAACCCACCATTCCTCCTTTCGGAAATATCTTTAAACAAATTGATGAATAGAGCACTGTTCCTCTGGGGTCAGTTGTTCAAAGCTGGGTTAACCCACGGTTAAAATTTAACCAGCTGTTTTAGTTTATCTATTTCTGCACGTTTATTTCAAAACTTCAGAGAAGAAAACTTCTACTGATTCAGACAAGATTTCTAAAGAGTCCAAAATCGCGTGTATTAAACTCAACTTAAAAAGTCTAGGTCTAAAGTATTGATGTTTCTACCTCTTTGACAAACTGGTCCGTAGATCCTCGTTCAAAACATCCCTTCTTTTTCTTCTTTGTTTCAGCCAGGACACATTCTCCCGTGTTCAACTCAGCTCCATACACGACAATGAAGACATTCGCATTGGTACCTGCACCACTCACATCTCCAGTATACACTGTCATCTCATAAGGAACATCTACAGAATAACACTGGTTAGTACATTGTCGTTCACCTCTATGACCAGGGGTTGGTTTTTGTGCAGTTGTCTGATTATTTTATCTTGGTCATCTATGAGAAGAATGCTTTCAGTTTGACTCTACAAGCAAGGACGAGCCTTACAGTTTAGAACTGATAGAACTATCCAGTGAAAGTGAAAGCTTCATATGTGAAATCGATTTAACATGTGAAGTGTTGCAATCAAGGGCGGATTTTCATTCTTTTAAAAAGAGGGGTGGAAAAATTTCTAGTGGGCTGCAAGCGACACCATTGGGTGTTGGGGTTAAAGATTTTCACCCAAAATAGGAGGGGTGAAGCGAAATTTTGTTTGGTGGGGTTGAACACTTTATAAGAGGGGTTAGAGAGATTCTAGGTGTGTGTGTGTGTGTATGGGGGGGGGGGGGTTAAACCCCCTAACCACCCAGTAAATTCGCCCATGGTTGCAATTCCGCACGTTGATATGTGTGAAATCGATTTCACATATAAAATCACATATAAAAATTTCACACGTGAAGTGTTGCCATTCCAGATATGGGGATTTTCTTTAACTTAAACATTTAGTCATCCCTACTGGACCTCAAGGAAGAACAGTTTAGAACTGATGGGTTTATTACTGTGTCTATCAAAACGCCCGACTTACGTGGTGTATAAACTTGCTCAGCGTCTTCCACGGGATATAACTCTCGTTCCAACAAACCGTCATCTTTCCCTTTGTCTAACCAACGACCACAGGGAAATACCCATCTGGTTCCCAGGCTTTTTGAATCTATCTCAACTTTATCCAAGAACCAACCCGCAAAACCACCCTTGTTGTCGTGCCCGATTCTAAAGGAAAACGCAAATCATGATGGCCACGGGATCTAGTAATATAGTTGGTTTTACTAAGCACTATAAATGTTTAAATTTTCCTGCTCCTAGAAGACATTTCTGCAGCTGACCACCATAGCTGCTCTGTGATGCTGACTACAGCCACCAGTATAACATTAACGAAGTTTAAACATCACACTATCCTGTGCGACACAGTCTAACACCCTACCTGATTTTTTTCAACACGCCGACATCAGCATCCAATGAAAACACGTCTGTTTGATTTCGCTCAAATTTGTCTTTATTTGTCTGAGACGTTTTCATATCAAGTTTTCCTGCAAAATTGTGTTGACCGTTTAATGTTCAATAATATCTACAGCAAAGTTACAATGCTATTGGTGTTGGTGGTACCGTATAGTTATTTGGTTTGATTCCTGCAGTATACAGTTGTCTCGCTTCAGTCATAACTTTCTCACAATATCTAAAACTGACCTGATTCTCCCTTGTCTCCAAACAAGATGACGTAAACATTGGCGTCAGTGCCCGCTCCTGAAATATCCCCTGTGACCACTGAGACCTCGTACGAACTGAGTCGAGCTGAAATATAACACATAGGGGCTCAAGAAATATGTTGACGATGATATAATTTGGACAACAATTTTGTTTCCTGGCAAGAAATGAGTGGACAAACAGGGAAACATTTAAAGAAACATCAAAGTTTTCAAATACTCCAACACACAACTTTCCTAGTTTCCGCACGGCTTTACTCCGTGTTTCACAAGAACACGTGTGTGCAGTACCTTTAGACTCTAAATCCAAGGAATCAACCAACGCCTTAGAACTTTGACGTCGCGTCATTTTCCTCTTCTGCTCAGCATTATAATCCTCGGACGTCAGAGCAGGCAGGTCACGTGATATTTGACCATCATCTTCGTTCGTTGCCAGCCAGCGGTCACATGGAAAAACATACCGCTGGCCCTTAAGTTTGTCTTCAATTTCAACCTTGCCAAGGAACCAGGCAGACTTCATGCCACTGTTGTCGTGACGTATCTTCAGTTTTGATAAAGTACCCAGAGTGATGCACTTGATCGTGAAAATATCCTCCTGATTTCGTTCAAATTTATCCAGGTGTTTCTCAGATTTCAACAACTTTCTCTCGCCAGAATCGCCATTCTCGCCATATACGGTGGCCAAGACGTTGGCGTTTGTCCCAGCATGCATCACGTCACCAGTATAAACATGAATGACGTAGGTGTTCTCTAAACAACGAAATGATCATAAATGGTGAACGGCTTTGAGAAGAAAGATTATTCTAAATAAAAAACTTTATGTTACCTGACAAAGTGTTCTGTCTTTTCAAGCCAGACTTTGTGCTCGGCACCAGTTCTCTCACGATCTCACCATCGTCTTCGTTCTTTGCTAGCCAGCGGTTACACAAGAATGAATATTCATAATCATTTTCATCATTGGCTTTTCCATCGTCATCGTCAGATGATCTTGACTTCTTCTTTTTATTTTTCTTCGCTTTGCCCTCTTCTTCTGGTTTTATTCGACTTATCTCAACCTTCAGAAACAAATCAATTAAAACTCATGGATCTTACGATAATATAAATAATATCTCGAACGTTTATCACCACTGGTATTGAGAGAAATAGTATTTTGTTTTATGTCTCAGATTACCTTGTCCAAGAACCAAGCTGCACCAAATCCTGCATTATCATGACCAATTCTTATCTTAGTTAACGCCCCAATGTCTTCACTCTCAACCTGTCAACATGATTTACAATGCGATTAGTTTAAACAGAGGAAATCAACTTTACATGTATATATCCCCAACCTAACTCGTAAGATATCCAATAATGTTAAACCTTGAACACAAGCCCGCAGTAAGACCAACTACCCACCTTAAATTTATCAACTTTTGCTCTTTCAAAGTTGTCAGTTTTATTTCTGAGTTTAAACTCATCAGACTTTCCTTTCTCTCCATACAAGGTAAGTATGACGTTAGCGTCGGTTCCAGCTCCCCTGACATCACCTGTGTGCACGACCACTTCGTATGGGATTTCTAGAGACAAGAAATATATTTTACTTCATATTAAACAGAAACTAACTTTATTTATATTCGACAGCTCTATCAGTTCTAAACTGTTCTTCATGTGATTCAGGTAAATCTATACCATACTTTGATGGATGTTTCAAACAAATCTTACTTTGCTCGATGTTATTTTTTTGACTTGAATAAAGTTCTCTCTCAATCTTCCCATCATCTTCATCCTCAGCCAACCAGCGATGACATGGAAACACCATGATCTCACCACGTGATGGTACCTCTACTGTCACTTCATCAAGATACCAACCAGCACCAAAACCTTTACCATCATGACCAATACGAACCATCTCCAACTGAAATGAAAACAATCAGTGTTTGAATAAATGCTCTCGTGGCTAGTGTCTTCTGAACTACCAGTTCGAAATTAAAGCTTAAATTACACCAAAAATATATAAGGCGACGAACACTAACCTTGCCTATATCCACAGCTTCAACAGTAAACATGTCAGCTCTGCCTTTTTCGAATTTATTCTTGGTATTTTCAGATTGTCTCAAAGGTAACTTCCCTGTGTCACCTTGCTTGCCAAATATCTGAATATAGACATTGGCGTCGGTACCAGCTCCTCTGACATCCCCTGTTCTCACTGCCACCTTGTATGACGTCGCTACACAAAATACATTAATACAACGTGAGAATAGCCAATTAGAATACTCTTCAAGATTACGCCTCTGGGGCTGGAGTTGATTGGGCTTCGATCCCAGAATATTCGAAGCATGGACAACTAGATCTAGTACAAATAAATGCCTTACTTTGTAATAAACTTGTTCCACCCAACGTCAATTCTCGGATGATTTGTCCGTCGTCTTCGTCTTTAGCCAACCATCTGAAATAAAAGAATTCGTTATGGGTGAGTTTCAGTCAGCTTTACAGAGCACAAGATCGAGCGTCAACTTCATGTTCACAATTTTACAAATTAAACTACACCACTTTTTTATGCCATGTACATGAGTGTACCTTTCACAAGGAAAGTTATATTCCTTCAAGGAGTCACTGGGATCTTTAATGACAACTTTATCCAAGAACCATCCCGCCCCAGGCCCCTTGCCATCATGACCAATCCTGATCTTTTCAAGATCTTTAAGATTCACAGCCTCGATTTCAAACTCATCGACCTAAAATAACAAAACAAAACTTTACATCACGTCACTCTTGCGCAATTGACATCTTCATTTCTATTCTAGAACTATTAATAATCTGAGAATAATTTGTCAAGATGTGTTTCACTTAGCAACTATATAATGATTGATGTTCACTTACATTTCCTTTTTCAAATTTATTTCTGTTCGTTTTTGAAAACATCAGCGGTCTCTCCCCTGTATCTCCTTGGTTACCAAATATGTTCAAGAAAACATTGGCATCGGTACCCGCCCCAGTCTTCTTGGCCGTGTGCACGTTCACTGGATATTTAAACACTGGAAAATATGACAACAGGATAAATGCAGATTGTTGACAACTCCCATGCAAACTCTCGCCTGTCAAGTTCTATAAAATCTTATTCTAGATTGACTAGGGACTGATACTTTCTCCAGACAAGTAAAATGTTATGATAATATTAAAATTATATGAAGATGGTAAAACACAAAATAGGCACATTAGAGCCCATTGTGGCTTAACAAGAGAGACTGCAATCTACACTGACAAACAACTGAATGAACAAACCTTGTTGAGGCTGGACTCCTTCACCAAACGCAGGAAGTTCTTTGATGATACTTCGATCATCTTCCTTCAGTGAAAGCCAACGCTCACATTTGAATGAAAATTTCGCTCCTGTCTTCGTATTTTCAACTTGAATCTGTACAACATTCATTTAAATATTGTTAATAACTAAACTGACTTTATTTAGGTAACTCTATAAACTGTTCTCTCAGAGCTCTTCAAAGGGGCATTCCTCAAGTGTTACTACAGGAGAAAACCCGCGATGCTTACGAAGGTCAACAGAACACATGGAATAACCACTGTGCCACACCACCCTGGCTAGAACATCGTAATGCCACAGTACCTTTTCTAAATGCCAATCTGCGAACGATTTTGAGTTGTCATGTCGAATTCGAAGTTTATACAATGGACCAACATTGGCAAGTTCCACCTAGACAGTAAAACACGATATTTTGTGTTATATGTACATACCCAATAGACATTCCAGCCTAGGTTGCTTAATAGTATTAGAACTTGTACCTTAAATTTGTCCAGTTGTCCTTGCTCGAAATTATCTGTTGCATTCCCAATTTGCATTTCGTCAGTTTTTCCTTTCTTTCCATATAAGGTGATGAAGACGTTGGCATCGGTCCCAGCCCCCCTCTCATCACTCGTCCACACCCAGACATTGTATACGATCTCTGATTTAATCAAAACAAAATTAGAAGTATTATATTTCTCCTGTAGTAACACTGGATCAATAAGAGATTATCCTAACTGCTGAGAAAAGTTTAGTACTGATAAATAGATCTAGTATAATAAAGTTAGCTTCGCTTCGAGGAATAAGAAATGATTCTTACTGGAACCTAGGAAGAACATTTGTTTGATAAACATTTTATAAACAACATACTTGGTCTACGTTTCTGTCTCATGTCTTCAGATTCGTACAACTCTCGTTCCAGTCTCCCATCACCCTCGTCGTCTGCAATCCATTGTTGACATAAGAAAACTTGCTGACATCCTGTGCTGGGACAGTCAACCACGATCTGCGATAGAGAATGAAGGTTAACTTTGTTTACTTTGCATAGTTCTATCAGTTCTAAACTGTTCTCCCTGGAGGTCAAGTACAGAAGGGGAACTAAACTAACTTCTCACATGTGACTGAGGTGAAATTATAAGACAGAGATGAAAGACACACGCACTGACCACTGCACTACCACATTCCTACAACTACCACATTCCTACAACAAGACTAAACACAAAACGGAACCAGAATTAACATAAATAGATGAACAGCCAAGGTGAATTATTACCTTATCACAGAACCAGCCCGCGCCCAGGCCAGTATTGTCGTGACCAATAGTGATATGATGCAATGGACTCAAACAATCGGCTGTTTCCACTTGAAAGATATCAGTTCTCCCTTTTTGAAAATTATCATTCTTTTCATTTCTCAACACCAGTTTCCCGCTATTCTTCTGACCGTCTTCACCGCCATACAGAACTACGAACACATTGGCGCTCGTTGCAGCATTTCTCACGTCACCTGTGCTCACGTGAACTGAGTATGGGACACCTGGAAATAACACACGTTATGGTTAAGAAAAAGAACGAGTCTGTCCAGTTATCTCTGGTGGAGGTAAACCTCTAGGAAGAACAGTTTAGATGAATTCTAAAGAAAACAGTTTAGAACTGATAGAGATATCCAGTATAAATAAAGTTAGTTTAGTTTAGGTTTCCACCTGTAGTAACACTGGATCAATAAGAGATGATCCTTACTGGACCTCTAGGAAGAACAGTTTAGAACTGATAAAGCTATCCAGTATAAATAAAGTTAGTTTAGTTTAGGTTTCCTCCTGTAGTAACACTGGATCAATAAGAGATGATCCTTACTGGACCTCTAGGGAGAACAGTTTAAAACTGGTAGAGCCATTCAGTATAAATAAAGTTTTATTCATATCAATGTCAGGCTCACCTGGCGTGATGTACATATCAGCTTGTTGAGAACCATTGACGCAGACCAGTTCTCTCGTAATTTGTCTATCATCCTCATCTTTAGCTAACCAGCGGTGACATGGAAATTCAAACACTTTACCACGACCTTCATCTTCAACTGTTACCTAACGAAACAATTTCCATGATAATTATTGTCAAACAGAAAGAACTCTTCTCACATTTGACTGAGGAAAGACAACAATCAGGAATTGAATCTTGAACACAATCAATGAAAGATAGATCTGAGTAAATCACGAACACAGCCTACAATCAATGACAAAGACTTACTTTATCCAAGAACCATCCAGGTCCTACACCACGATTGTCGTGACCAATACGTAGTTTAACTAACTCGCCCAAATCAATTCCTTCCAAACGAAATGTATCCATTCTACGTAAAATTACACATCAAAACATTAACGCCCGTATTCTAAAAGCCCACTCACACTCAATGAGTGAAAGTTCAATCTGAGCTTCTCTCGAGTGTCATTGCTGTTTTGAATAACTGGAGGGTTAGTGTCATACCTTACTATGTGACTACTCACCCTCCAGCTATTCAAAAACAGCATTAACACTCAAGAGAAGCTCAGCTCTTCCACTCATTGAGTGTGAGTGAGCTTTTAGAATACGGGCGTAAATCTCTTTACTTTATTCTTGACGCGCAGTTACCACAGAGATACAAAGAAAACAATGCTGTTGTTGATATGTATCTTACTGACCTTCCTTTCTCGAAGTTATTTCTTGAGTTATCCAGACAATGTTCTCCCGTATCCCCCTTCTCACCAAATATCGTAACAGTCACATTAGCGTCCGTCCCAGCCCCCCGCACGTCGCCTGTGTATGTACATACTTTGTACTTGTAACCTGACAGGGAAATACAGTAGTTGGTTAGAAACAACAGTTTAGAACTGATAGATCCAGTATCAATAAAGTTAGTTTAGTTTAGGTTTCCTCCTGTAGTAACACTGGATCAATAAGAGATGATTCTTACTGGACCTCTACTCTAGGGAGAACAGTTTAGAACTGATAGAGTTATCGAGTATAAATAAAGTTAGTTTAGTTTAGGTTTCCTTCTGTAGTAACACTGGATCAATAAGAGATGACTCTTACTGGACCTCTACTCTAGGGAGAACAGTTTAGAACTGATAGAGTTATCGAGTATAAATAAAGTTAGTTTAGTTTAGGTTTCCTTCTGTAGTAACACTGGATCAATAAGAGATGACTCTTACTGGACCTCTACTCTAGGGAGAACAGTTTAGAACTGATAGAGTTATCGAGTATAAATAAAGTTAGTTTAGTTTAGGTTTCCTTCTGTAGTAACACTGGATCAATAAGAGATGACTCTTACTGGACCTCTACTCTAGGGAGAACAGTTTAGAACTGATAGAGTTATCGAGTATAAATAAAGTTAGTTTAGTTTAGGTTTCCTTCTGTAGTAACACTGGATCAATAAGAGATGACTCTTACTGGACCTCTACTCTAGGGAGAACAGTTTAGAACTGATAGAGTTATCGAGTATAAATAAAGTTAGTTTAGTTTAGGTTTCCTTCTGTAGTAACACTGGATCAATAAGAGATGACTCTTACTGGACCTCTACTCTAGGGAGAACAGTTTAGAACTGATAGAGTTATCGAGTATAAATAAAGTTAGTTTAGTTTAGGTTTCCTTCTGTAGTAACACTGGATCAATAAGAGATGACTCTTACTGGACCTCTA